TCTCTGTCTCTCTCTCTCTCTGTCTCTGTCTCTGTCTCTGTCTCTCTCTCTCTCTCTGGTGTGTGTGTGTGTGTGTGTGTGTGTGTGTGTGTGTGTGTGTGTGCGCTCATGGAGGCCAAAAGAGGGCATGGGCCTCTCTGGAGTTACAGCTACAGGCAGCCGTGAGCCCCCAAACACCAGGGAGTAAACTTGGTCCTCTGAAAGAGCAAGCGCTCTTAACTGTTGAGCATTTCTCCAGCCCCAGCTTTTCAGGATTACTTTCCACTTCCACTGTCCCCTGGGGTGCTGCTTGTAGAGTGAGCATGGATGGAGCCTTGCTCTACATGCTTGGAATACATACTGCGGATATTTTCCTACTGTGGCCAGAAGGGAGGTTTCCGGGTGGGATGGCTGCGCCAGTCTGACATGTGGACATAGACTGGCAGTTCACCCTCAAGCTCTGGGAAAACCCTGGGAGGGCTTCACTCCTGCTGGTCACTTTTCCTGGATACCTTAGAGAAGGGGGCAGGGGACAGAAACACACAGTGAGACACACAAACACAGACAGGAAAGCAAATGAGACATAAACAAAGGGAGAGGGGCTGCAGACAGCTGGCAGCAGCTGGAAGTCAGAGGGGGACACTTGGAGAGAGAAGGAAAGCAAACTGAGCATGTCTGTAGGGGAGATGCAGTTCACGAGAGAAGTCAGACGTCAGACGTAGGGACAGATAGGACAAAACGGTGAGTGTCTCAGCAGGAGACACGGAAGTTGCACCCAGGAGTCTCCATTCTGAACTTGTTTCTTGGCTTTCGGCAGCCAGCGGAGGATCATGTTCAGAAGACACTTTGGAAAGTGGGCCAGGCAGACCTACAGGGACAGCTGGGCTTCAGCTGCAGCTGACAGTGGCCAGCCCTTTAATCCAGGGCCTAGGCTGCAGGCAAAGCAGGGAGCGCAGACTCTCCCCACAGCTTCTCTTGGGACAAAGATGAGGCTCTCGAGGCCCGTCACAGCCAGGATTGACAGAGTACGGGGAAGCCTGCCAGACCTGAAGTCGCACCCCTCTGGACCAGTCTAGCCTGACAGAGCTCTGCTGGCATCTTGTGAACATGGGGAGTAGCCAGCCCCGCAGCTCAACAGTGCACCCTCCCCATGGCCAAAGGCACATGCTGTCCCCTAGGCTTCAGGAATACCTTTACAGAGGAGAGACTAATACCCAGACGGCGGCGGTGTTCTCCATACAGAGAGACTTGGGCACTGGAAAACGCCTCCCCGCGCAAGCTCCTCCGGTGTCAACACAGCATCTCCAGAGGTCCCCAAAGTCACCATCACCTCAAAGGCCTCAGGTATATTCAGAGCCTGGGGTGGTCTTGGACCTGGAGCCTCTCTGGCCTGTTTTGTGCTCCCCTAAACTCCTTGTTTTTCTTCACCTCCCCACAACAGCCAAAGCCCCTGCTCTCTTTCTGGCATGCTGGCCTACTCCTGTCTCCTAAGGTTTCAGGAGCCTTTCTTTACCCCTGGGTCCCTAACTCTGGTGGCCAGCTCTGTGACTGGCCTAGAAGGGCAATGTGCTTGGGCACCAGGAGTTGTGTTTCTGTTTCCCTGTAGGAAGCATATGAACTACAATGTCAGAGAAACCAAAGCCCATCTGTAGATTAGGAAACTGAGCCAGGATAAAAATCCCACGATAAGAGCATCCCCATTCTCACCACCATGAGAGTCAACAGGAGTCTGACTTAGTGGGGTCAGGTCGCCAAAGTGTGTGGAGTGACAGCAGAGTCACAGTCAAGGTGGAAGCACTCCGAGAGGTGGCACCTATGGCATCATCGGGATTATCGGGAAGTAGCCTGAACCTCCATCAACACGGGCCGTCTAGTTCTGTTTCTGTTTGCATTTTCCCACGCACCATCACACAGCATTCTCCCCGTGTACCTCCCAGTGGGCAACCCTGAGACTGCAGAATTAGTTGATTATAGACAGCAGGTGCTGCAGCCATGACCCCAACCCCAGGTCCAGGATTCAAGGCCTAGGCAGTTGTCACTCCAGCTTCCTGACCGTGGTCCCACCGAATACTACCTCCCTCCCTTTATTTCCCTCTGGGAAGGAAAGCCCGAAGCAGGAAACATCCTACCTCCTGGGACTCAAACAGTCCCAGAAACAAAGAAAACCTCCAGCCTGGGTTGGGATGGGGGGGGGGTTGGGGGTGGGAAGTGGGGGAGTAGTGGAGTGGGAGGGTAATGGGGGCGTTTCCCTAGAAGCAGTCAACCTTACTCTACAAGGCAGAAGAGAAGTGGGAGGGGCTTTGAATGTCTTCTCCTTCCCCAGATGCACCGTGGAAAGCTAACCAATGAAATCAGCCTCATTTTGAACTTGCGCCTTCCAGCCTGTATAACTTGGAGAGATGCTTCTGCTGTTTATACAATGCCCAGCTGGGTGTGTTTTGTTACTGCGTCCTGAACAGACTGCAGCCAGGCACAGTTGCTTGGCCATAGACAGAGTAGTGGCCACAGACTCCACAAGGAGCTGGGGATGAGGAGTGTTTGTTGCACTTTGTTCTGGTTATGGCGGACCTGGAAGAACGCCACTCTAGGTGGATAACACTCGACTGCTCTAAGGTATCTTAGGACCAGCCCTTTGCTAACATTTCAATACTGAAAAACACTTCCAGTTGATTGCATGCGCCTTTTCTAATGACGCCTTTCTCTCTTTTATGACAATTCTACTTATTTCTATTTTATTACACCATTCATATTATATATATATATCTACATCTAGAGAGAAAGAGAGAGAGAGGGAGAGAGCATCCCATTATGTAGCCCAGTTTATCCCGAGACTTGTAATCCTCCTGCCTCAGCCTCCTGAGTCTTTTGATTTTAGGAGTGAGTCAGGAAGCACAAACGTGGGATGAATATTTGTGAAAGATTGTCTTGGTTGATAATTGGCAGAGACCAGCCTATTGTGGGGCCTTAGCTGCATGATACCTGTTTTAAGGCACCAAACCAAGAGAAATTCCAGTGGACCGTGTGGTGGGGTGGTCAGTGCACTCCTTGGGTCTGACAGCCTTCACCTGGGAAAGGAGGCACACAGCTCTTCACTCATCTTCTCAGAGGCCCTGGGAAGTCACACACCCCATATGGGCCTTAGTTGCAGGAAAGGGGATAACATTGGCCTCTTTCTGCTGGTTTTGCGAGGATGAGATGAGGCGACTCTAAAGTGGCACCCTGGTTTTCCTCCTGATATCTTTTGTCTCGCCTCCTCCTGCATAGTCTTTGGGCTGAGTGGCATGGCCGACAGAATCCAGCAAAGAGGTGGGATGTGCTTCCAAAGCTAGGTCTTAGGAAAGTCCCGAGGCTACCTGCTCAGTTACCGTCTCTTTGTGGGGAAGACACTGCCTTGCTGTGAACAGCTCTTTGGAAGGTTTATTTGGAAAGAGACTGAGCCCCTTCCCCCAACCCAGCCATTTCAGAATGAACACTATAGCCACAGTCAAGCTCAAAGCCCACAGCCTCAGCGCCTGGCCAGGCTTAGTCAGTCAAATCATGCCTCAATTCCCAGCCTTCAGGAATGATGTGACATAATACATGTTTATTGTTTTAAACTGTTGTTTGTGCGTCAATAGATATGCATGAGATAAGCACTTGGTCAAAGTTATCTATTTCATCACTGTTAATATTAACAAGAATCGGAATTCCTAAAGGGTAATCAAGTTGGCCCTAACACTGAAATGCAATGTAGACTGGATGTTCTAGTTTCCTTTGTGCTGCAGTTCTAAGACCTTCTCACCAAAATCAGTTTAGGGCAGGAAAGGGCTGGTCCGTCATACACTTGGCAGTTCTCAGTCCATTATTGAGAGAAGTCAGAGCAGGGAGGGGAGCAGAAACCATGGAAGAATGTCTTTCCTAGCTTGCTCTCTGCCCTGCTCCCTGAGCCATGCTCAGCCCAGGCCACCTGCCTAGGGATGGTGCTACCCTCAATGGGCTGATCTCTGCCAATTATCAACCAAGACAGTCTTCCACAAACATGGTCATAACCCAACCTGATCCAGGAATCACTCAGCTGAGACTGTCCCACATGATTCTAGGCTGTGACAAGTTGGTAGCTGAAGCTAACTGGGACACTGGGAATGGTGGCTCATACTTGTAATCCCCACACTTAGAAGGGAGGATTTCCATGATTTGGAGGCCAGCCTGGGCTATATGGTAAATTCCATGCCAGCCTGGGTCACAGAGTGAGAAGACCCTTATCTTGAACACCAACAGCAACAAACAAAAAATAAAATGAACAAACCAAAACCCAAAACCAAAGAAAACTACCATGAATGTTCATCAAATCCCTCTATCCTTTGAAAGATATTTCTTATCACTTAGACCTTAAATTCTAACTATGTCAGATTCTTATTAAGCATACATGGTGTCAGTTATACAGTTACATGCAAATACAATTTTCAGGCATTAGTTCATACCTTAGAGGAGAAGATTTTGTTGAGAAAAATCACTTTGTTGGTTTCCTCACGTGTGTGAGGCTAAAAGTGATTTGCTTTTCCGGTGGAATGGTTATTGACCTTATGCACCAATTTACACTTATACTTAAATAAATTTATAAAAAGCGAAATATTCAGTTGCCTAGCTATACTCACTGTGTGTCTACTATTTCAAAAGCACATGGGTAGCCACGGTATTACCTCGTGTAGGAGATATTTCCATCACAGCAGAAAGTTTCTAGATGTTCGGTGGGTTCTGGATGTGTGGCTTGTGCAGAGCTTAGGGTACAGTGTGTTCTAGGCCCCGTCCTCCTCCAGCGGCTCTGAGGCAGGAGAAACAGAGTCCTCTGTTCTGGCACGCACAGCCTTGTAGGGAGAATGTCCCACTGTATGTGTGCCCTGTCACTGCCAGCTTCTGGTGCCTCCGTCCTTGGTGTCAATTGCCAGCTGTTCAGTTGCCATTGTGATTCAGCTGACAAGTCCAGAGTACCCAGAACCACGCCCAGTCCCATTGCCTGTCCCCACTAGTGGCTGTGTCTCGTGCGTGGCATGTCTATTGACTTCCACCCAGGTCACATTCTCTTATTTAAGCCTTCAGGTCATTGTCCACTCCTGTTCCCTTCTGCCGGCATCTCGTCTCAAGCCCTCCCCTCTCCATTGTGGAAGAGCTCTTACGGACACCATACTTGGTTGAGGAGCAGCAGCAGAGTATGCAAAGGGCGAGGAGACCAGATCATTCCTTGGCAGTTCTCTGAGCACAAGTGCCAGGAAAAGGTGAGCCACTCCCCCACCCCACACACCCAGGAGTGCTCTCATCCCATCTGGCTCTTCCATTGTTATCCTTTCATCCTTTGATTCTGTAGCAATCAAACTCTACTCCTCTGCCACTCATTCATTCACTTGTCATTCATTCCTAAGCCTCCACTGTAACGTGTATTCTTCCCGTCAACCACCTGGGCCCCGCAGCTGTCTCAGCCCCCAAATAACACACGAGACACTATATTAACCATGAAGCTGTTGACTGTTTGCTATGGTTTCTCCTTGGCTAGCTCTGACTTAATTATTAATCTATATATTTTTTACAAGGACTTATCATATCAAGGACGCAGCCTCATGTGTCCTCTCTTCCTGAGATCACATGGTGACGACTCTCACAGCATTTCCCAGAATCCTCCTAGATTCCAAGTTCCACCTATCTTGCTTCCCTATTGGCCAACAGTGCTTTATTCATCAGCATATACACGGAAGGCCTTCCCCCATCACTCCACCTTGCTGAGAGCCCTGCACTGGACTCTGTGATACCAGATCCAGATATGAGAATGAGATATGTCCTGCCTTCTGAATGCAAATAGTCCATTAGACAAAGTTAGACGATCAAGGCATGCCAGAGAAGTGAGGCCCATTGTCTTTGTGCTTCCCTCTTACCTGCTCAAAGGGGACCCAGGGACTTCGCTGGGACACCGACTGACAAAGCCAGCAGTTAGAGCTAGGGTTCAGGGCAATGCACAGCATCAGAGGCCCTGCTACTCATCCAGGCAGGGTATTTAGCACTAGGTACCTAGATGAACAGAATCTAAGTGATTGTCTTTGAGGAGGGAAGTTGGGAGCCATGTTCAAGGAACATTATTCAGAAGACCTTGCTGGTCCATAATCAGAAAGCTGGTCCCAGAGTCAGAGCCTGAGGATAGGAGCTGGGCGAAGAGACACACGACATGGGCACAGGCCAACGTCCATCTGGGAGCAATGGAGGTTCCTCTTCCGGGCTGAACTCATGTCCTGGCGTAGGCAGATGAGCGAGCAAGGGGTAAGAGGAACAGCTCACGGCCATTGTTTCTTTTCTTTGTTTCCTTCTCACCTACAGGGCCACAGAGCCCAGAATCGGAACCAACAATGAGATCCCACGTATCCAACTACAGTGAACAAGAAGGGCAGAGTGCCAGCCTGACCAAGAGGGACTGCTGGGCTGTCATTTCAATGCTGGAACTGGCTGGTAGCTCCTGTCAATCTTGAGGGAGGGAATTCCTGCTGACCAAGCTCCTGTCAATCTTGAGGGAGGGAATTCCTGCTGACCACAGGGGCTTCCAGCTCTCACATGATATGGAAGGATGTGTTTGACAGTGTGCCAAGGAAGACAGAAAGTTTGTCCAATAGGCTGAAGTCGGGGCATGACCCAGTGGGTGTTTACAGTATGTGTGCCTCTTTGATGTCCTTTGGCAACATTTCCCTTCTGATTTCTCTCAGATCTCTGGCCTAATGTTGCATAAGTGAACTAGGGGTGCAGTAAAGGGAGCCAGGAGGCACACAGTCACTACCATGTTGTCATCTGGCCTGGGACAGCAGGCTGGAGTGTTTCTGATGTCCTATGGTGGGAGGCAGGGCAGGGGGGATGCTGGAATGCACCATCTAGAGCGGCTCCTTGCCTACTCCACTGTTAGGGCCACAAGCCCCTTAAATGCCTCTGTGTGAATTAAAAAACACACCTCTCTGTGTGTGGACACAGCTCTTTTCGGCTTGACAACAGAAGGAGCAGAGTTCAGTTCTAACTCTTCGGTGGGTAACCTGTACATCTGTACCCAGTGGCTGCCTTCCCCATTTCCCCTCCCACCCAAATAATGGATGTAGGGTTGAACACAGAAGAGGAGCAGCAAAAAAAGAGAATGAATAGGAGGGTCACAGAATCTTCCAGTCTCGGAAATCAGCCATTGAAGAGACAAAAGCCACACGAAGCCAGTGTCTAATATTAAAGCTGAAGTCTTGGCTCCCGGGGACCTTTCTCAGTGTTGCAAGACACAGGCAAGGAAGAAGACGTTCCAGGAGTGATTCCCCAATGCCATCTTCCTTCACATTCCATTAAATGCATTTATTCTCTACTCACACTGACACGATCAGGTGTTAAATAGGTTTTGATTTATGCGTGTGTTTAATATGTGTCTTTAATTTTATTCTCTCTCTTGAACTCCAAGCTCCTAGAAAGTGCAGACTGTGCACTAATTGAGAGTCTCTCTCAGTGAAATGTCTGGCCCATCGCCACCTGGTGCTTTTAGATGATAACGATGACCATCAAGTTCAGATTCCTTGCTGTGACTTTCTAGACTTTCCATCATCTGGCCTTTAACCCATTTCCCTGGGCCCGTTATTCTGTTTCAGCATCCCATGCAGTGGCCAGGCTAGCTGACATTCTCTAGACATCTCCATGACTTAGCTAAGCTGCTGCTTTCCTGGACACAGCCCTCTTCCCTCCCTCCTGAGGATCCATACCCAGCCCAGCTTTGGAGAACGAATCCCGGTCCTTTTCCTTGTCAGCTGTCCTGAGTCCTCGTGCAGGAGTGACCTGAGCCTTTGCTTTCCTGTGACTTTGGTTCAACTTCTGATGGCACTCTTTACCTTTTACTGTGCATCACTGGTGCTGGCTTCCTGGGGAGGGCCCAGGTTCTCATCCACGCCCCTCTGCACCTTTCACTCCAGGGACGGTTACCTGGAATTCAGCTGTGTGGCCAGGACCAGGACGCACCCACCTTGCTCTGAGTGTGTGTTTGTTCATCAATATAGGTTGGACTAACTGACCTCTAAGGCCCGTGGTGGCTCCGATCTCTAGCTCACTGAGTCGGGGTAAATACAGGGTTAGAAGGAGATCCATCCCACTAGAGACAAACTTGAAGTTTTTAGATTGCTGAGAAGTTGGAAATTCAAACCATTTAGTACCAGGCCACCTAATTCTTTTTCTCTCCCCATAAGTGGAAACAGTGGTGAGTGACTCGGAATAGATGGCGCCAAGATTCAACGTCTGTTGTTCAGACCTGGCCTTGTCTGAAGTTTCCCTTCCACCCTTCTTGAGGCAAAGGTTCGGCTCACACTCAGGCGGTGGTGACTGAAGCTGTCCTATGTGTGTGTGCCAGCCAGGTCCCTCTGTGCCAGCTCAGGACTGAATGTACCGTGACAGCCAGCAAAGGAGCAGCCTGGCCTGCACTGAGGCCTAACCAGTACCTATTTTGGGCAGTTAAATTACTAAGCACTTAGGGCTTTAGTACCCTGACAAATCCTTTTAAAATAGGCCCTATATTGTCTCCCCAGAGTGACTCAGCACCCCGTACAGTAGCTGTGATTCACAGAAGTGTGGGCACCCAGGGTGTGTGGGTGCTTCTTGGAGGTTGTTCAGCTCTCCCTCCTGGAACCCAGAGGGGTCACAGCCAGGAGAGGCGGTACCCACACTTCACACCCGCAGGCCTCTGGAACACCACTTTCCTCACAGTTACAAGCTTCTGTGCCTTGCACCCGTTGCCAACCCTCCAAGGCAAGGCCATTTGTTGGGACAACTTCAGAGCTGCAGTGGAGTAGGAGACACACTGGAACTCTGACGGCTGGATGTGGGGGCAGACGCTGCCCTTAGGGCTGGGAGGATGGGAATGCCCCATCTGGTAGAGGCCTACTAGCCAAGAGTCTCAGCTCCAGGCCCATGCAGGCTGCTGACTCACTGTGGGCGCTTAATTGACTGTGGAGAGCAGACCCAGCTCTGGGAAGGCCTGGAAGCTTAGTGGCATCGATGCATCTACAGACTAGGGCCAGTGGGCTGGGAGAAAGCCCTGCTGGGCCACAGACAGACATTTGGGGAGTGGAGTGGACCAGGGTGGGGGAAAGAGTGGGGGTAGGAGATCAGTCCTCACTCCCCATGTTTGCGGAGGCAGCCAGTTTGAGTGAGGACCATGGGACTCAGACAAGCCTGACTAAGCCCAGCCTGCATCAGATCCCATAGCTGGATTTAAGAGTTCCAGCTTCTCCATAGACTTTAACAGACAAGCTAGGAAGGCTCAAAACTAAGATGAGTTCATAATGTAAAAACTCACATCCTTTAGAACCTCTGCGTCCTGCCTCCAGCTTCCTGTGCGTCAGTCTTCTCCTTTTTCTCCTTTTGTTTTGTTTTGTTTGGTTTTGGATTTGTTTTTTTTATTTTGTTTTGTTTGGTTGGTTGGTTTGATTTTCCTCGACGTAACAGTCCTGACTGTCCTTGAACTCACTTTATAGACCACACTGGCTTTGAACTCACTAAAATCTTCCTGCCTCTGCCTCCCAAATGCTAGGATTAAAGGTGTGCGTCACCGCTGCCCAGATGTCCTTTATCTCATTACACAAATATGAGACGACCGTACGTGTCTGCTTCCTACCCACCTTTCCAAATGCTCTGAGAATGAGGGATGACCCAGCTCGTGCCTGTGGTCTCAAGGCTCCAGGTAAAAGGCTGAGTCGGCACAGAATGGAGATAAGATTTAAAACATTCTCAGAAATGTTTCTGTAGCCTCTAAGGTCTGTTTCTCTAGGGCCTCCTGGTCACTGTAGGTGAGAAGCCGTGTGTGTGTGTGTGTGTGTGTGTGTGTGTGTGTGTGTGTGTGTGTGTGTGTGTGTGTAGGTGGGTGGGGGAAGTTCGGTGCTTTGGGGAAGGGTGCATAGTTGCCATTGCTGAGATCTCACTGTCAAATTAGAGTTTTGTGAGTTCCCAAAGTGACAAGCTCAAAAGCCAGCTGCTAAGGAGGCAGGGTTTTCAAAAGGCTGGGGATGGGATCATAGTTTATGTGTGAGCGATCTCTCCAAGGCAGGAAGAGGGCAAGCATGGGAAACCCCAGGCTTTACTTCTCCTGCTTACAGGAGAGTCGGTAGAGGGAAGGGGTGGGACAGTCAGCTTAGCTAGGCACAAACCTTCATCTCCCCACCCAGGGCTCAGTCTGGTGGGGGAGGTGTGTCCTACAGTTCAGGATACTTGAGTGTCTTGTTCAATTTTGGGGGGAGGGGGGCCTGACCACTCAGAGATCCCTACGCCAACTTAGGAGTATCAGTGGTATAGCGTGGGCAGTCTCTGCATGCTCCTAGGAGCGGGAAGAAATTCAGCTGAAAATCCATCTGGGGAGCTTGGCGTAGGGGAGGGCGGGGAGTATGGCTAAGGCTGCTTGGTAGACATGACATACCTCAGGGACTTGTGGGGCCTAGAAGAAATGGTGCAGGCTGCAGCTGAACCAGACACTCACTCATTGTGACCCAGTGCAAGCCTCCTGCAGGCCAGCAATTCCTAACTGCAGCTGCACAGAATTGTCACCTATGGGTGAGTTCCCCACACCCAGGCACCACGCGCTTTTGAAGCGTCGTGTACATGTGTCTCTCTGTGTGGGGCCATGTGCATTCTTGTGTGCACACTAGTTCACCTGCATGTGAGTGCCAGAGGCCAACCTCTAGTGTTGTTCCTCAGGAGTCGTCACTTTGTTCTTCATCTCTCATCAGCCTGGGGCCCACCAATTAGACTAGGCTGCTGCCGGAGCATCCCAGGAATCTCTTGCCTCTGCTTCCCTGGGATTACAAGCATGCCACCACACCTGATCTTTTTAGGTGTGTGTTGGATCAAACTCAGAGATTCATGCTTGTGTAGCAACATCAACTAATCAATTTATCTCCTCAGCCCCTGCATTTGGTGTACCTTATGAACCCAGACAACTTTCTTTTGGGGCAAGAAGTCCCTTTGTCTCAGGGTAAGTAATGGTGCTCCCAGGTTATGTTGTTGGGGAATCGTGTACTGCCAAGGTGGTGTGGGTGTCCACTGGCACCTGAGGGATTGCCTTGGAGCCTTGGGCACCTCACTGACTGCCTCACTGTCCTTTCTGGGTGATTCTTTCCCTGACCCAGTCTGAAGAAGTAACCCTGGAAGGGACCCAAAGATTGTAGCTAGAGTTACAGGACCAAGAGATCATGGGGGAATGAATGGGTTTGAGAAGGCAGGGAATTTTTTTTAATGAATAGACCAAATTATTACCTATAGTGCTTTTCTGTTTCCCAGAGAGTAGCATGCCATGACTATCAGCTGCCAAATACAGCTGAGTCATTCTTCCCAACTCCCCACACCAGGACACTCTGGTCAAATTCACTGTGGGGGAGGTGAGGTAGAGCAGAAAGGAATTCGAGTTCCACAAACCGATGTGTGTTTGTGCTCTGCTGCTCTGTTCAGTTCCAGAGAGAGAGGGGGAGAGAGAGAGAGAGGGAGAGGGAGGGGGGAGAGAGGGAGAGGGAGGGGGAGAGAGAGAGAGAGAGAGAGGGAGAGAGGGAGAGAGAGGGAGAGAGAGAGAGAGAGAGAGAGAGAGAGAGAGAGAGAGAGAGAGAGAGAGAGAGAGAGAGAGAGAGAGAGAGAGTTTGCTTGCTTCCAAATGCCATGCAGCAATTCTGGGGCCTCGAACAGCTCCTGACTGCTCAGCTCCCACCTCACCCAGAGACAGGCTCGGTTGGTGCGGGTGACTCAGACGCTGGCAGTGCGATGGAAGACAGACTCTAGGGAGCATGGGGAACTGATTGGTTGGCGAGTGTGAGCTTGGGGTGTCTGTGAATGGCCCAGTGCTGGGCAGAAGTTCAGTTTCACACGCTAGAACAAATGGGCCCTTTGTGAATCATAACTGACCTTTGTTTCCTTCTGCCTGGTCTCCCCCGCCCCTCCGTCCTTCATGCTGGCTCAGTCAGGAACCTGGGTGCTCTAGAAGGAAACCCTGACTGGGCTTGGACATCTCAACCCATTGCAGAGTTGGGATGGGGGAGGTTGGAGAAAGGTCATGACCTTCAGGGATGATGTTCCACACCGTGCGAGGGTCTGATTCTGTTTTTGTCTTTTTATTTTGTCATCTTACCTGGTGATGGGGACAATCAGAGTCAATTGGAGAAGAGCAGCAGGACACTGAGCCCTGATTGGTACCCAGCGTCCATCTGTCAGACCCTTTTAGTCTCAAGTCACACATACCCAAACCAGTAACAGTTTCTATTAAGAAAGTAACTGGAGGGGGATGGCTCAGCAATTAAGAGCACTGACTACTCTTCAGAGGACCCAGGTTCAATTCCCAGCACCCATATG